CCTGTGCTTTATCCAACCTTGGCTTCAACAATTCTCGCTCATATAAACCCTCCTCTTTCTCACTAATTAGACTCCCAGTGCTCCACCAGGGGCCCAGCCGTGGGTGTCTGCATCCAGATTCCTCAGTCCTATGTCAGCTGAACTCCCTAGATTAGGCCATGAATCTCAGCACCAATGTTGGCAGCAAAACTAAGGTAATGTACTGGAGAAATGGCTTAATACTTAGGTGTGACTGCTGGTCTTGCAAAGTACCTGAGTTCTCAGCACCCACATCAGGCAGCTCAAGGCACCCTCTTCTGGCCTCCAAGGGCACCCACATGTACACATACAGATACATACACATAAATAAAAAAAAATATATATTTAAAAAGAACTAAGGCGATGGATGACTCTCCTTAGCATATCTGTCATTTTTTTCCATGTGGGTTCCCACAGCTGATGTGACCCTTAATTCATGAGAATATCAAATCTCCCATCAATTGACTATGCTCACTTGGTCCCTCATGACCATGCTTCATAGACATTCAGAGCTAAGGTGACCTGTGAATATATTTACTGAGGATCACATGCCTCTTACCCATTGTAGGTTAATGGAGCTTACAGCTGAATGTCCTCATCAGGCCCTCATCTCTGTCCCTTATATAATACTAAGAGGTAATGTGACAGCAGAGTGTCCTCACTAGAGCCTTGGCTTCTGTTCCAGTGCACATGCATACACACATACACAGACACACAGACACAGACACAGACACACACACACACACACACAGAGTAGGATCAGGTTGGTCTCCTCAGTCCTTCTTCCTGCTCACTCACAGTCACTGCCATGTCCCTTTTGTACTTCAGGTTCCCTGTGCTGCCCCTGTATAGGAACCTCTGCTTCAGAGAGGTTATGCCAGCAGGTTCCCTATTCCCAAGCTCTGTTACATCTCTTGCAGTCTGTAAAAGTTGGAGTGCAGTCTGAGCATTTGTAACAGTACTCTAAGCACAAAGAGCCTTTACATGGTCAGGACCATCTTCTTGTGTCATTGTCTGCTTTCCCTTTCCCCAAAACTTTAATACCATCTACAGACAAACATCTGAGGCTTTGAAGACCCAGTACTACCCATCAAAGTGGTTGAGGATTTAAAAGGCTCTTTCCCAGGAGCAGGCATGAGGCTGGTGCCCCTTGGTGGTATGTGGAAGAAGGTATGGAGGCATCTTTAGGGAAAGCTGGGCAAAATTCTGCCATTTTGGGGTTGACCGGCTTTACATCATCACTAGCCTTTTGTAAAACCTTGTCCATTCATTATAGCCACATGGCTGCTGTTCCAGGAGTCAAGAGAAAGCCTCTTTGTATCATGGGGGTAAAGAGAAACTCTGTGGCCCTTTGTCTAAGCATGGTGGGCAGAGTGATAGTCATGAGAGCCATAGAAATGACTGTGTGGAGGTGGTATTGAGGTTTTACTTGCACTTTGTGTCCTGTCTCCAAGAAGGTATTCCTGTTTTATCTACCTGCTCTTTCATGGGCTGTGTAGTAAAAGTGGTGAGGCTAGGCTGGAAAGTCTCTACAGCTCAGCTCAGAGCTCTGAGTTTCAGAGGACAATGGGGGCTTGCTGGTACTTACATCCGCCCTACTAGCTCTCAGGCCCAACCTCAGTGGTACCATCAGCTCACCCATCTCAGCTTTTGCTGTGATTCCTGCTCCAGAAGACTATAGGTACTGGAGGATGTAGGATGAAGGCCCGCCCCTGTGCTAAACTCTGGCCTCCAGCCCTGTCCATGGAGCCCTGCTGCCTGCTCTGGAGCATCTTGGCTAGAAGTGTAACTGTCATGCCTGAAAAGAATGAAAATATTCTTTAGGCTAGGTGTGTGTGTGTGTGCACACCCTTAATCCCAGTACTTGGGAGGCAGAGGCAGGCGGATCTCTGTGAGTTTGAAGACAGCCTGGTCTACAGAGCAAGTTTCAGGACAGCCAGGGCTACACAGAGAAACCCTGTCTCCTTCCCCCCACCTCACACACACACACACACAGAATTCTAAAGAGACACTTGTGTCCCCTCTTTTGGCTACCAGACTGAAACAAGGCACCTAGGGAATAGAAATTTCCCCCAGGAATCTCATGCTGGGGAAAAAAATGTTGAATTCCAGTATCAGCCAGAGGGGGAATCTTCTCTTCAGGAAAGCTTGTCAGACAACCTTGCAAGAGGAGACTGAAACCCAGACAATGATGATGGGTCAGTGATGAGTGGGACTATACCTTGACCAGGGCTGCTTATGTGCCTTCTATTTAAACATTAACCTCATGTCAGGACCCTAAATACAGACTTTGCAAGGGGGTCACTGGATCTGTTTGTCCTTCTTTTCAATGTGGCTACATTGAATAAATCTTTTTCACTATTAACTTGGCTTTTAATTGGCTTATTGAGGACGGATGTCTGAGCCTGGATCATTAGGGCTGCCAGGGGCACAGGCTCTGACTCTAAGGTAAATAACAAGAAGGACCCTTAAAAGTCTGTGATTTGTCTCTATCTCCTATCAAGTGCCTTTTCCCACTATTTGGTGTGCAGGTGAAGCTCTCCTCTCACAACCTGGAGGTACCATTTCTACTTAAAACAGGGGCCACAGTAAACACTCCAGTATGGGGGTGGGTGGAGGTGCTGCTGTGACAAACTTAGAAAGGCCCATATCAACCTTGCCTTTGTGTGAACTAGCCTATCATGTCAGATTGTGAAGTCAAGCTCCCAGCAATGGGATGAGATGTGATGACCAACTATATCAGGGTTAAAAGACAGAGGACATGTGTGTTCCCTAGTCCAATTTGGGTTCTGACACACTCTTTTTGCAAATTGCAAAAATTGCCTTGCTGAGATTGTGTGACACCAAGATTACTCTTCTCCAACAGCTATATGCCATCCTAGCAAATAGGCAAGAACAAACTTGCCAATGTTCAAGTTTCTTTTACCTTTATCCATTTTTTTTTCTTGCAGGTTTCTGGGAAGGATCCTTAGCTCATCCTTTAGGTCTGAGACCCTACCTGCCATCATCATCCTAACCAGACTGTATTGCCATCCTGGACATGAAAGCAGGGAGGGGTGTGGGTACCCAGTTCTCAATAGCAGGCTAGGGAGAGGTCTTGAAGGTTCAAACAAGAAGCCCTGGATAGGTGGTAACAGAGACACATGCCTGTAACCTCAGCTACTTGGGAAGCTGAGGCAGGATTGCTTGAGCTCAGACTGCTTTAATATAGCAAGAACTCTGTCTGAAAACAAAGTTGCCTTCCTAAGTAGGGGACAGAGGGCCCAAGTCCAAGTTGTTTTTCTTCCTATTAGCCTCCTGCTGACTGCCCGAGGGCCCCCTAGTCCTGGAACAGTAGGTCCTACGTGACCTAGATGCATGTTTTTAGCTCTCTGCTAGGAGCAGACTGTGCCTCAACTGTCCATTCTCTGGGTCACTGATTTGCTTACTGTATAGACCCTCTGCCCCTTGATCATTGGTTCTGTCACCCTTATCTATTAGAACTAAGGCATGGTGGTGGTGCTTCCTACTATATTCCCAGGACTCAACTTAGAGCACGGGCTCAACAGGCAGCTATGCTCAGGGCCATTGTCTTTGTTGGGAGCATTGAGTGTGTTGAACCAAACTGCTGTTTCACAGGCAAAAGGATACCTCCAGGTGTAGTTAGCTGCTATCATACTAGAATAAGTTGGGCATCCATTCCAATGTGACAGGTACCCTAAGAGGCAGAAGCTAGACAGCCACAAACCAGGAATTTCTGGAATCATCTGATGCTGTAAGAGACAGAGGGGTCTCCCCTAGAGCCTCTTGAGGAAGCACTGCCTCATCATACCTTGATTTTGAGTTTCAGGCATCCAGCAGGGTGACACTGAACTTCCACTGTTTGAAGTATCTTATTGTGGTACCGTGTTATGGTTACTGGAGTAGGTAAACTGGCAGCTCAAACAAGCACAGAATTCTGTCTCTTTAGCTGTTGCTTAGGCCAGTTGCCTGGGTAGAGTAACACTTCTATTCCCTCTTCCTTGCTTTCAATGTCAGTCATAAAACTTATAAACTCAACTCTTTCCTAAATAGTGAGTGGGGCAGGGACAGGGTCTGGGTAAAGCTAGCTAGTTTGCTAAGATACATGAATGATAAAGTGGTAGAGGTATTTATGTAGAAGGTAAAAGGGTGATTTGCCCTTGTACTTTAGGCTAGTCTCAATGACAAACACCCATGGAGTGATACCAAGTGATGGGAACAGATACAGGGGAGAGGCTAGAAAGACTGGAGGTCAGATCCAGGCTCCTGGCTGAACCACTGTGGGACACCTCAGAAGTAAGGATGATGAGAGACAGAAAAGGAGGGGAAGCATGGAGAAGGTAGTGGGGTAGGAATTCAGAAGGTAACATGGTGTGATGTCTAATCTTGGTTGTCAACTCGACTACACCTGTAATTAACTAAATCCAAGAAGCTGGACATATTACTGAGGGATTTTTCTTGTTAGATCATTTGAGGCAGAAGACCTACTCAAAATCCATATCATTTGAGGTCAGAAGGCCTGCCCTAAATCTCCTGGTGGCAGCCCATATAAAAGGACATGAACAAAGGAAACTTGCTTTTTGCCTGCCTGCATGCCTGCCCTCACTCTTGCTGGCAAGTTCATCTTTCTTATTCATGAGCCATTTCTTTGTTGGTGTTAGAACATATTTCTTTGGGATTCCAACCTAGACTGAAAACTGGGACTCCAGCACGAGATTGGGGCTGTTGAGATATCTAGTCTCACAGACTGAACAACTACTGGATCCTTGGCCTTTCTATCAGGTAATAGCATTGTTGGACTACTTGGATTTCCCTACCCCAACCTTGCCATTACATCCTCAAGTAGTTTGACCTGTCCCTTGTCATTTCCTCCCTGCCATCCAGGACCATAAAGGAGAGACTTATTATTTCCCCACTCCCCATGTGTATTAGTCAGAGTTCTATAAAGGAACAGAACTGATAAATGACAAGGGGGACAAGTAAACTGTTTGAGGATTTAATGGCAAGGTTGGGGTAGGGAAATCCTAGCTGCTACTTCTGCTTTCCTTTGGTGAGAAGGCTGCCTGTGGGTGGGATGAAGATGACCATGGAGTATGGAGTTGGTGAGGGGACATCTAGGGCTCCAAAATGTTGATAGGCAGTATGAGGTCTCTTCCAACTGGTGAGGGGGAAATGTCAAGTGGCACTGAAGCTGGTGTGGCCATGGGCAGGTCCTCTCACATGGGTATCCTTGACCACTTTCTTCGAGTTTTGAGGAGTTTTCCCATAGACACCAGGGAGTGTAGTTTGGTCATTATCCCTCTGAGGCTCAAGGCTCTTCCCCATTGTTCCTAACTCCTGTCTTGAGGAGTCTAGGGACAGATTGATAGACTGTTGTTCTTCCTTTTGCAGGGGCTAGAGTGAGCAGAGGAGGTGATTCAGGTCTTGTGGAGAGAGGAGTGGCTCAGACAGGGCTATTGGTGGCCCCGAAAGCATTACAGTGAGTTTTGAGCACTTGGTAGTTGAGGAATGTAGCTGGGCTCGGTGGCGGCGGCGGCAGCAGCAGCAGTGATGGCTGTGGCAGCGGCAGCAGCAGCATAGGATAGAGTGGTGGCCCGAGCCCAGGGACTGGAATGTGTGGCTAAGGCCTATGGTCCCAAAGTCCTTCCAATATGGGGTCAATAGTCCTAATATAGGGTTAGGTGGTGGGAAGGACAGACACAGAAAGGGTGGACAAAAGGGGAAGAGTGCGAATGGTGTAAGTTCCCAAGGCTCAGAGCTTGTGAGGGTTCACCCACTTGTAGGTACCCTCATACTGGAAGCCCACTCTCTTCATCAGCTCATCTGCCTCTGTGGGGCCGCGGCTGGGAGGCAAAGGAAGACATAAGTGACCCTTGTCCCTGTTAATTCCCACTGCCCTGCTTGCCTTGGCTCCCTTAGGTCCCATCCTTCCCTTACCTGCCATAAACATAGGGGATGGGCTGGGGCTTCTCTTGATCAATCTTGTGCAGTAGTGGTGTGAAGATACGCCAGGCTTCCCTGAGTTCATCACTGAAGGGATACAGTGTAAGATGGAGTAGAGTCACATAGGGAGGGAGGGAGAAGGCCACCCTCTTGCCTGACTGTATTAGGCTGGGGAGGTCCCTCACCTGCGGACAAAGTGCATCTGGCTCCCACAGAAGACATCCAGGATGAGGCGTTCATAGGCATCAGGGAGCTTCACATTCTGCAGGGTTGGGGAAAGGGGAATGTTGCTGATACCACTGTACTCAGCCACCCAGGGCCTCCCTTAGGACCTTGCCCAGATGGTCCTCCCTGTGGGAACCTTGTATCTGTTGCCATAGGTCAAATCCAGCTCTGACTCCTCAGGGTTGAAGAACATGCCAGGCTTCTTGGTCATCATCTTGGTGTATACAGCCTCATTGGGCTGCACACGGATCACCAGCTCATTACGCTTGCACTGCTGGTGGAAGATGTCGCCTGCCACATCGCGGAACTGCAGTCTCACCTCAGCCTTACGCTCATTCAGGGCTTTGCCACAGCGCAGGATGAAGGGTACCCCTACGGGGCAGGGCTGGCCTCAGGGACTGGCTTTTCTATAGTCTTGCCCTGTGTGCGTGTGTGGAGGGAGGGAGGAGCAGATCCCCTGTGCCTGTGTACATGTGTGAATGTGTACATGAGGAATAAGTATGACTAGGGTAGTGTCTCACTTGTGCCATCCCTCCTTCTCCAGCATCCCTTACCACTGAGCACCATGTATATGACCATGCTAATAAGTGTATTTTTGAGGGTATATCTATTTAGCCCTGCCTTTCTGGGTCCCAGAGATGTCACCTACCATCCCACCGCTCATTCTCCACATAGAGGACAGCTGCTGCAAATGTGGCAGTGGTAGACCCACGGGGCACTGTGGGGTCATCTAAGTACCCGTTGGTAGCTTCTCCTTCTCCATTGGGGTTCCCCACATACTGGCCAAGGACCACATTTCTGGTTTCCACCTCTGAGATACATTTCAACACTTTGACCTGGGAGAAAACCAATGTAGAGTGGGCCCCTCGGTTTCAGGGAGGGTATAGGGAAACAGATATGAGCCCAGTGCCTTGTCATAGAGTGGCCTGCCATGGGGCATAGCTGCTGGGGACCTGGTGGACATACCTCTCTACCTACCTTCTCATCACGGACATCATCTGAATCTGTGGAGGCAGGCTTTTCCATGGCCACCAGACACAACATCTGCAGGAGGTGGTTCTGCATAACGTCCCTAGTATCAGAAGAGGCAGATATTCTGGCCAAGTGCCACTTCCAGGGTAGGAACAAGGAGATGACCAAGTTCTAGGGGCCCCTGGGCTTTCTAGTGACAAGCTGGGAAACCTTGCTTCCTTATCCCTAGTGTCTTCTAGGTCTCCTTAGGCAAGGAAGTAGACATTGACCCTGGAAACCCTTTGGGGTTTAGCTGAATGGGTTGAATACTAGCCCTCAGGGTATGAGGATGAACCAAGTTGGAATAGAATATGGGTTCTTACCTGATGATCCCAAATTCATCAAAGTAGCCCCCACGACCCTCAGTACCAAAAGGCTCTTTAAATGTGAGGATCACACAGGCAATGTTGTCTCGGTTCCAGATAGGGCCAAAGATCCTGTTGGCAAATCTGTGGGAGGTACAGGAAAGAGGCTAGCATGAGAGACATTATGGAAGGGCCCATGAGTGGATCTACCCTTGGGATTCCATAGTATAGGGGCTGTATCTGAGCCAAGCTAGAGCCTAGCACCCTGGCCAGCATCTTTCAGGAATCTGTCTTTGGGGCAGTGGGGCAGGTGGGGTTCCTCACATTTCCACCCTTGCCCTGGTCCTCTTCCACCCTGTCCCCTTTGCACCTTAGCACCATGAGGTTCTGGACCATCTCCTTGCCCAGGTAGTGGTCAATTCGGTAGATCTGGTCCTCACGGAACAGAGAGGAGATGTGGTTCGACAGCTGGTTGGAGCTCTGCAGGTCTTTCCCGAAGGGCTTCTCCACTATGATGCGATTCCAGCCGCTGCTGGGAGCCCCCACTCATGTTATTTCCCAAACCTTTCCCCAGGAATAGGCCCAGGGCCATGTCACCCTAACCCTCACCACAGGGAGCAGGGCTTTCATCTACTCTGTATTCTCAGGTGACCCAGGGAAGCTCTGCTGACTGCTATCGATCTTTACCCTGCACAGACAGCATCTTAGAAGCCTTCTTGTCAACATGCTGAGGACTGGATCAGTTTCTGGGATCTGCCTACCTTGGTGCTAGGGTAGCATGACTGGCACATTCTTGGATGGCTTTGTTTCCCTCTTTTCCCATACTAGATACTCAGTGGGTCAGAAGTAGCCCAGCAGCCAACAGGGAACTAGGCAGATAGGACATCAAGGACACAACTTCCTTACTAGTTTTACTTTAGTTTGAGATAGGGTCTCATGTATCAAAGGTTCCTGATTTTGTGCCTCCACTTCCTAAGAGCTGGGATCGCAGACATGTACCATCATGTCTGGCTTTCCTTATTGGTTTTATCTATCTATCTATCTATCTATCTATCTATCTATCTATCTATCTATCTATCTATCTATCTATCTATCCATCCATCCATCCATCCATCCATCCATCCATCCATCCATCCATTTATCTAATGTATGTAAGTGCTCTGTCTTTATGTACATCTGCATGCCCAGAAGAGGGCATTGGATCTCATTACAGGTGTTATGAGTCACCATGTGGTTGCTGGGAATTGAACTCAGGACCTCTGAAAGAACAATCAGTGCTCTTAACCACTGAGCCATCTCTCTAGCCCTTGGTTTTATATTCTTGAGATGAAGTCTTGCTATATTACTCAGGTTGGCTTGGAACTCCTGGGCTCAAAAGGTAGTCCTGCATCATCCTTTGAGTACCTGGGACTATAGTCATGGCCCAATGCAACTGACTTCTATTGGTTTTATTTTTTTTAAAACTAGCATTTTTTCTTTTTGAGACAGGTTCTTACTATGAAGACTAGGCTAACTCTAAATTCACTATGTAGCCCATTGCCAGCCTTGACTACATAGTGATCCTTTTGCCTCCTGACTACTGAGATTACAAGTGTGCCACTATACTCTGCTTAAATTTTTTTGTTGTTGTTTGAGACAGTCTCACTCTGTATTTCAGGTTAGCCCTGAACTCCAAGTACTCCTCTTGTCTTAGTTTCCATAGTGCTGGGATTATATGTGTGAGTCACCTTGCCCAGATTTCCACTGATTTTAAAAGAGCAGGTTCCTTTCTTTGCATTTCATAACAGAACACTAAAGTTGTTTACTAAATTCAAAATCAGGAGCAAGACAAAGATGGTGTTCAGTTTTCAGTGGTCTCTTATGAAACAACACTGCCTCCCGGTGGGCCTGCTGGGGAAGGGAAGAAGGGGAGAGAAGAGAGAGAGAAGAGAGAGAAGAGAAGAGAGAGAGAGAGAGAGAGAGAGAGAGAGAGAGAGAGAGAGAGAGAGAGAGAGAGAATGCCTCATATGAGTAGCTCTTCTGTGGGGCAACACTGTCATCTTGTGGTCATGGTGGGAACTGTTGCAAGGGGCCACTATTTTGTAGTTGAGAACCTTGGAGGTAATAGCAAAGGCTGTTAGAAAACTCTAGTACTTATAGCCTGTTCCCTTTTTGGGAATGCTAATCCATCTGGACAACAAACTGGGCATTCAGAGTAGCAGAAGCAAGAGCAAACAGACAGGAAGGGAGAGAGAAAGATAGGCCTTACGTCTGACTCATGCACGTCTCTTGAATGTTCTTGGTGACAGCTTCGTAGACTGTAGGGGGCAAGGCCAGGTAGAATAGGTGGTTGGCCTGCATCCCCTGGTGCAGGGCATTCATATGGCTGTTGAGGTGCTTGTAGGAGGCTGGATCATCATACTGGCCAGCCACATAGGAGTTACGGGCAAAGAACTCCTCCAGCTTGGGTCTTTCCTCTGGGGTGGCCTGGGAGACAGAAAAATGTCAGCTTCTACTTTTCTCAGAATCTACACTTGTTCTACTCTAAAGGAGAGAAGGATCTCACTTATCTATGCCTTGTTCCACAGCTAAGTTGTATTTCCCTTGAGCCAACTGTCATGGCTCCACAAGTACAAGAGTTTCCTTCATCCTGGTAACTTTGTGTACCCATGGGCAGGGGGCTGAGGCACACAGCAGAATACTGTATGCAGGTGGGGCAAATTATTGGTATAGTTTGCATATCCTCAGGGCCCTCATGCTTAGAACAGAAATATGATTTCAGAAATTCTGACCTGAGAGAAAAGAATGTTGGAGAAAGATGTCTCTCCAAAATTATCATAGCAAACTATAGGTGCTGAGAAAATGCCAACATAGCATAATTACTAGGGGGAAGAGGTACTTGGAGGAGTCCTTCCAGCTGCTGGCATGACTCAGTGTGGCAATAGAGCACAGCAGGATGGAGCCAGAGAGGCTGGGTCAGAGTGAAGTTGGGAAACAGATCTGAGGCTGATTGACCATCTTCTTTTGTCTTTGTCCAGAAGTCATAGAAAAGGTGTCATAAATAGGTGGACATAGCTTTTCAGTGGTTGGTAAAAGAGAGCAAGAATGTGAGGTGTCAGAGCTTGAGTGTTCTGGGTGGCCCTGCATCTCAGCCAGTCAAATGAGAAGTGGGGAAGGAAGTGTTGCTTATGATGGGAATAGGACATGTCTCCTCGTGGGCTGCTTGGAGCTAGTCTTGCTGTGGGATAAGGGAAATGGCAGAACAAGGCTCTGGGATACTCCAATGTCACTCACTTTAAAGAAAGGCTCACTCTGCTTGCGGATGTCATCCACTGTGAGACGGGAGCGGGCATAGCCCACAATGAAGGTGTCTTCGGGTAGAAGGCCATCCCGGAACAGCCACCTGAAGGTACAACAAAGCTGTTTTCAGGCTAGGTAGGGAAGGTCAACACCTGTCCCAGGTAGAAAGGCTTTTTTGGAGGATAGTATAGAGTTATACCTACCAGATGGTTGGATAGATCTTCTTCTTGGCCAGGTCACCCTGCAGCAGAGAAAACACATGGTCAGAAAGAGCTGATATGACCTAGATCATTCCCCACCACAGTGATCTGGGTGTCCCCATATATCATCAGAGGAGCTCAGAGATTCAACCCTGATCCAGCCTTGTGCCAATACAGGTGAGTAGATGAGTCTGCCAGGTTCAAGATGAAAATGTAGACATTGGGTTCATTAGAACTTAAGGATAATAAAGGCAGCACATACAAAACACAACCTGTGAGATACGACAGATGCCACATTAGCATAAAAGGGGTTATAAAGTAATGAGATGGTCATTCAATTAATGAAGTCAGAAAAATTGGTTACTTTTCTTGTTGCTGTGACAAAATACCTGGCAGAAAGTAACTTAAGGGATGAAGGGTTCATTCAGGCTCACAGTTTAAGGGTACAGTCTGACATGTCAGGGAAGGCATGGTGATAGGGGTGTGAAGTACTTTGTGTCAACAGTCAAGAAGCAGAGAGTTGAATATGGACACTCAGCTTACTTTCTCTTGTTTTCCTTTAGTCAGGGACACCAACCAATAGGGTGTGACATGAACAGTCACGGTAGATTTTTCTTCCTCAGTTAAATCTTTCCGGAAACATGATCATAGATGCACCTCTGGGTGTCTATGAGGGTATTCTTAATGCCTGCTATTGCTTCTTTAGTTATTAAACCCTTGCCAGTATTATAAGACAAGAAAATGAAAATGGTATAAGGTTTAGAAAAAAAAACACAAAAACCTGTCATTAGATGATAGCTTGTTTATTTAAAAATACATCAAATCAACCTACAGACTAATTATTAGAGTTAATGAGAATTTAGCCAAGTTGCTAGATTAAAAAGATAGGAGTAGGTAGAGATTTCTTAGTATATAAAATAATAATCATAAGCCAGCATTGTACTGCAGCCTATAATCCTAGTTCTCCAGAAGTAGAGGTAGGAGGATAAGGACTTCAGGGTTATCCTTGGATACATAGTGAGTTGAAGGCCTGCACAGAGAAAGGGGAGATAGAGCAGGAGAGAGTGATATGAAAATATGAAGGGCATGTGTGAAACTCTAGGTTCAATCTCCAGTATTACGAAACAATGAAAAGAAGGAAGAAAGGGAAATTAGTAGGCAAGCATGGTATTATGGCCTTAGTGGTAGGGTTTGTGCTTTGCATGTACAGGGCCCAGAGTATAATCGCTAGCACCAAAAAGACAAGGTGCAGCCTTAGAGATAACATTCACTAAATTTATCTGTATTCAGAATATCTAAATAGCTCCTATGACACACTGTAAAACAATCTAACTGAAATGGGTGAAGGTTTGGCCAGATGTTTCACCAGAAAGAAAATAAATGGCCATTAAATAATAAATGGAAAGTGTTCAAGATCATCAGGTATCAGAAAATACAAATTAAACAAGACATCACTTCATACTCACTAGAATGGTCAAATCCAAATGATAATAATTGGACATACTTATAATTCAATCACTTGGGAGGCGGAGGCAGGAGGAACTTCATGAGTAAAAGGCTAACCTGGGCAACACAGTGAGTTCCAGGCTAACCTGAGCTACATGGGACCCTATGTCAAATAGAACTCCCTCCCCACAAAAAGCCAAACTGTTGGTGTGGAACTCACAGATTGTGGGTAGAAATGTGCAATGGTTAAATCTAAAACAGCTTGACAGCCTCTTATCAAGTGAAACACCTACACTTATCTTATGACCCACCATTCCTCTACTAGGTTTTACCCCAGAGGAAAAAAGCAGGCAGCCAGCTACTCAAAGATCTGTGCATGAATGGTCATGGCAGCTTTAATTTAAAATAGCCTGGACCCAGGTAGTGGTAGGGCACACCTTTAATCCTAGCACTTGGGAGATGGAGAGGCAGGTGAATCTCTATGAGTCAGAGGCCTAGTCTACAGATGGAGTTCCAGGACAGCCAGGGTTACACAGAGAAACTCTATCTCAAAATAATAATAATAATAATAATAATAATAATAATAATAATAATAATAATAAAATAAATTAAAAAAAAGCCCAGACATGCTCAAATCAACCAGTACACAGATGGACAAAATGTATATTTGTATTCAGCTACTCAGGAATGCACTACCATTCCAAACAGTATTGGAAAATCTCAAATACATTATACTAAACCACAGAACCTATACACAAGAGACTAAATACTCATGGGTTCACTTAAAAGTCCCAGAATGGGCAACATGAGTCTATTATGACAGATTTCAGGTGAGTGGTTGCCTGGGCAGGTAGTAGACTGTCTAGCAGGGGTACCCAAGAACTGTGTGGGGAGACAGAAATGCCATAGATTAGGCCATCAGCAGTACAGATACCATTTATGCATTGCAATGTGTATGAAGAAAAGAGGATAAAAATAATTGAGCAGAGGGCAGAGGGGAGGTTTGACATTACTCCTTGGGGAACAATGACTACAAAGTGGGGGACTTCTTGGGTGCAGATTTTGCTATAGGATCTGGGTATGTAACCCTAACTAATTTGGAATTTGCTAAATGGCCTTAAACTCAATGTAATCCTTTTGTCTCAGTCTCATAAGTGCTGTGATTACAGGTGGGTACCAGTACACCTGGCTTTATTCAGTTAAAAATTATTATTATTTATTTTTTTTGTTGAGACTGGGTTTCATGTATCCTAGGCTAGCCTCAAACTCATTATGTAGCCAAGACTGGCCCTGAATTCCTAATCCTCCTGCCTCTACCCCTCTAGAATTATGAAAGGAGTATACCACCATGTTTTATATTGTTTTAAGCAAGAGCCTTGTTACATTGCTCAGGCTAGTCTTGAACATCTTCCCTGAAGTGAATCTCCTGCTTCGGCCTCCTAAGTGGTAGGACTTCAGATGATAATGCTCTGTTTCTTATTTTTATTTAAATCACTATTTTATTTTTATTTTTTTTTATTTTATTTTATTTTTTTTTTTTGGTTTTTCGAGACAGGGTTTCTCTGTGTAGCTTTGCGCCTTTCCTGGAACTCACTTGGTAGCCCAGGCTGGCCTCGAACTCACAAAGATCCGCCTGCCTCTGCCTCCCGAGTGCTGGGATTAAAGGCGTGCGCCACCACCGCCCGGCTTCACTATTTTATTTTTAATTATGTGAATGTGTGGTGGTATGCTCACATTAGTACAGGCACCTATAGAAGGCAGAAGAGGACAATGGATCCCCTGGACTGGGAGTTACAGGGAGTTTTTAGCTGCTTGATGTGAGTGCTAGGAACCAAACTTGGGTTTGAGCAAAAGTAGCAAGTACTCTTAACCAATGAGCCATCTTTCCAGCCTGTTTTTTAAGGTGGGAGAAATTTACAAGGGTGTGCCAAGTTTGTGAAAAGTTGTCCAACTGCACCCTTAAGGTCTGTATTATTTTTGATATATATTCCAATAAAAATGATAAACATCTGGGGCTAAGAATATAGCTCAGTGGTAAAGTGCTTAGTAAGCATGAGCCAGTGGGTTTGATCCCTAGCAGTGCAAAACTAACAAACCAAACAGCACCCCACAAAAACACTATAAATATTAACAGATACAAGTTAACTGCTTTTATTTATTAACATCAAGCAGTTGGCAAAATAAGCAATTTAAAACAATACCATTTACTAAAGTTCATATTATAAAGAACCTAGAAACAAATTCAATAGAATACATGTGTGGGTTTACAGAGAAAATGATCCAACTCCATTAAAGATGACCTACATAAGACCCCATGCTCCTCTCTAAGCCAATGTGCACACCCAGTTCAATCTCCCAGTAGCCATCAACAGCCCAACATGCTTTCATTTTGTACCCTGCCAAACAAGGTCTAAGAAGGAGGAGCTGAAACGGCTACCAAGCTCCTGAAGAATAGGGTAGGGCATCTGCCCTTCCATCTCAAACCCTATCATTAGGACCATGGGATGGGTGTGAACCCAAGCTACACAGGGTACTGCTACTCCATGGGGAGAGGTGAGCAAGTGGCACAGGAGTGGGGCACTGGTCCCATCTGTATCCCAACTCACTCGCTATAGAAAAAGCAACTCTGAGTATTAAGGACCTGAATATTTATGCAAAAGTATTTTGTTGAAAATTTTACTACAGGCATACCTAATTAAAATTTCAAAACACCATTCCATCTAACAAGGTATCTTGAAATTAATTTCCCAGGTGTTTGGGATGAGTTGGTCTGGGTGACATGAACTTTGCCAAGTTTAAACAAGCTATGTAGAATGCAGCCAGAACAATACTCCTTACCTGGGCCCACTGTGACCTGGGAAGATGTTGGGCTCCATGGACCAGAGACCTCCAAAAAGTGAAGTGAACTGCTGTTTCCTTTAGCACAATAACCAATAGGCAACTTCCTGCTATCATAAGTGGACTAGTATACAACATAGCCCATGCTGACTAGCTCTTTAAAATGAAGATGTTGGGCTGGAAAGGTGGCTTGGTGGTTGGTTAAAAGCACTGGCTATTCTTTTGGAGGTTTCTGGTTTGATTTCCACAACACATGTGGTGGCTCACAACTATCTGTAACTCTAGTTTTAGGGGATCTGACACCCTCTTCTGACCTCTGAGGGCACCAGATATGCAAGTTGTGCAGACACACATGCAGGCAAAATACCCATATACATAAAATAAACAAAATTAAAACATTGAAGAGGTAATGCAACCTTAGATACAAACTTCAAAAATGACTGAGCCAGATACAGTAGTGTACACCTGTAATCACAGAACTTGGGAGGTTGAGACAGGAGAATAACAAGTTTAAGGCCAGCCTGAGAAACATAGTGAGCCCGTTTAAAAAAAATGGGAGCAGAGCCTCAGGGAGAGGCTGAGGCTCAGTGGTAGACTTGCTCAGCATGCAGGAAGCCTTGGGGTATGTTCCCAGTAACATATTAATAAACAAAAGAGATTGAGCTATATGGCTGCATTGATGAATCCATTTCTATAGAAAATGGCAGTTCTGGATAAGGATGGTTATGGGCACTCAGGGATTTCCAGTGGCTTAAATGTTTGACTTCAGAGGTTTGCTGAGTGACAGTTCCATGGAAGCAGGTGTATGTAGGTCATTTCCAGGTTCTACTGAGTTCCCAAAATGTCCACAGTTGGCTGTTACCAAACTTTGGCAACCTGTGTTGGCCTGAGGGAGCAGTTCCCTCCACTTAGTGCCCCTGTCTGTCAACTGTTCAGGATTAAAGTCCTGAGCACTGAGGAGTGGGTTCACATGATAACCACCATCTTCCATATGCACTTCTGGGAGCCTGAACCCAATGGCCACCTTGTAGCCCCATGCTATGATGACTATCTTCAGGAAAATGTCTAAGACTTGTTGCCAGCTGGGCTCCTATTGCTCTAGAGCCTCCTCATTTGTCACTCCCTCATGTGATACCTAGCATGGCCACCTGAGTGAACTACTTACTGTCCCCTAAGTCACTTTGCTGGGCAACGTTTTTACCCTGTTGTGCCAGATGGCTGCCCTTACAAGTTCCACAAAGGTCAGTTTAGATAAACCCCATTCTGGCCAGAATCTCCCCAAGGATGGCTCCTGGTTCCTCAGAGTACTTTCAATGCCTGCCTCTGGCATCTCCCATCAGTGGGATGTGGGTTACTGCTCATGTCAGAGGGCTTTGTCCTGGGCTCACACACTCCAGAAAGGGCTGGCTTGCTGGGAAAACAATGAGATCCCTGGCCTTCAGACCTTTCTAAGCAGGCAGTGTTTGCTTATGATCAAATTCCAACAGACTGGGAGGAATCAGGACAGACTCCAGCCAATGTATTGGTGGTAAGGGACAGGCTTGCTGAGTCACAGTTGCCCAACACCCAGAGCTGTTTGTTCTTGTTCCCTTTGGGATTAACCAGACATAGAACCTGTTCTCCTTGTTTTAGCTCAGCTCCTGCAACCGACAGTCTGCCTGCCTTCAAGTTACTCAAGGGAGGTGAGGTAGGACTAAGGACAGTGGGGGCGGGAGGCAGCCATTCTTCTCAGGATGGGGGTGACTCTGCCTTTCCTGCTGGCTTCATGACTCTCACTGTACTCCTCTTAAATAAGGAACATGAAAAGAACTGAAACCTAAATTTACCATGTGTGGGAGTGGGAGCAATTAGAGAGGTAGCTGGAAATCTCTCATTTTTGCCACCCCCTCACATTGCCCAAGGATCATGGCAGGGGAAGGAGCTACCTAAGGACATGTAGGGACTTAGGAGAATTAGGGCATGGTTAAGATCTCCAGCCACAACTATCTGGCCAGATAAGGGCAAAGAAATCTGAGCACCAACTGACCTATGGTCAGCTGAGGTTTGACCTCTTGTTTTATAAACCCAAATCATACCCAAGGGTCGTTGGGGATGAGGAACCCACCTAGCTTCCCAAGGTGGAGTTCTGGGCTGTGACTGAGGATCAGGTGGCTTCCAATCACTGGAATGAGATGGGGGAAATGTGAGGTAGGTTTGGGCTAAAAAAAAAAAAAAACTAACAAAAGGCCTCCTTCCTACACCCTGGGGCTCCATGAGTCACCACCATTCTTTTGGGAGAATGCCAAGATCATCATGACACAGCAAGACTCTTACCAGTCCAAGGGAGAAGTCAATTCTGAAATGACTCAAGAAGAGGGATAGGCTTGGACTGCCAGGTCACTCCTCACACAGGCCTGTCAGTGGGATGGACCCTGAGTACCTACAGATTCTATGGCTGTCACATAATCTAGGTGGGGGAACCGATGTCTAGAGATGAGCCCTGTAGTGAGCCCATCTGTCCATCAACCCACGTGAACTCCGAGGCCTACTCCTTTTCTTCTGCATAAAGGGAAAGAGTCACTTTCCAGCCTCACCAAGGTCCTATTGGCTGGAGAGACACCCTTTCAGGTCCACAGGTTCCTTCCCCACACTGGTCCATAAGTACAGGGTTTTCTGGAGTGGGACAGTAAGAATTTCTGTTTCCTTCCTTGAGTGGGAATCCTGAGAAGAGGAGTAGCTACAGTGAGGCAGCACAAGAACATCCTAGGTAGGAAGCTGGGTACATGGGTAAAGACTGGGTAAGGACCTGGGGAGGAAGAAGGGGCAGAGGATGGCTACTTGGGCTCAGCTTGCCCTAGTGTGTTCCAGTTTCCTAGGCTTGGGGCCTGTCAGCCACTGGATTCCTTTTAGTTTCTAGATCACACTGAGCTTGTTTCCAACTTAGAGGACAATTGCCCTCTTATCCTCAACTTGCCTTGTTTTCTAGGTCCACTTGAGACCTGTGTGTTGCAGGGGGCTTAGTACATAAGAGCCCATTTGTGACTTCTGTCACATACAGCTCTCTAAAATCCTGTTTGTTTGCTTGCTCCTAAAATACACTGTTCTCACAAGGATAGAGACTAAGGCTGTTGTGAATTGGAGGAGACACTTGATTGCTACATTGAATGAATGGAGAATTTGCAGGTCTCCTAGATCAGCTAGCACCTTGTCTACTTCATGCATTCAGTAAAGTGTGAGGCAGGAGATAATCTGGGGGCTGTCCCAGCACAGGGTCTGTCTGTCTCAGGCCCTCTGAGAGGAACAGAGAGAAATAACAATGCTCTTCAACAAATCTCTCTTTCTTCCCCATTCCCTTTTGTTGGAGCTAGCACTTCCCATCTCTACTCTGGAAGCCTTGGTTCCCACTGCCAGAGCAGAGGAGAGTAAAGGGGAACCACACTGATTGCAGTGAAATGAAGTTGCTCAACTTCAGGCTAGAACTCACATAATCAGCCTAGGATAAAGCCAGAGGCTGTCTGGCCCTTGTTTGTTAGGTGAAAACTACTAAGGTTCAGAGAAATGTAGACATTTGTTCCAGGTCACACAACAAACTGTCAATGAGGGAGGGTCCTGCAGTTGTAAACTATCTTTGCTGTTTGGGTTATTGTTGTTGCAAGCTTATGAAAGCATGGGTGGGGCAGGGGAAATCATCCTCAGTTACTTTCTCTTTCAGATGGCCCTTTAGATTGAAGGGCCTAATAGAGTCCTATATGCCAAGGTTTGTGTTTGATACATGCATGCATGGCTCCTTTAAGGGAACTAGGCTGGAGCCAGGGCTGAAGGTAGGACTGCTGAACTGTGTGTTCTGACTGGGTACTTTTGTTGGGTCTTAGAGTTACAGGGAGTCAGGGAACAGTGCCTTGAGGTGTCTCTCCCTTGCCCTTTCAGTGGTAGAGCCCTTCTCCTCTGCTTTTGCATTCCTTTTCTAAGTTCTCCCACTCCTAGTTTTGCTCAGAAATACAAGGCTGACAAAGAACAGGTTTGGCAAAGGGGGTGGCATGTTCTGATTTCCTCTTTTTTTTTTGGTAGTACTGAGAATTGAACTTAGGGCCTCATGCATAAGAGGTTAGAACTTTACTACTGAGCTACAGCCCTAGCTCTTAGTGGGCGTTAACGCTATGTATGAACAAGGAACCACAGAGTTCCTCCATCACTGAGGGGCCCAGAGTGTGGAAGGTGCTGAGCCAGTGGCTACCCTCTCAAGAACACACTAGCTCTGATGAAGTTCTTGCTCAAGATTACACAATAAGTTAATACTGAAGATGGTCACACGAGAGTGAGCTGATTCCAGGGTTAAAAGCAAGCAATTGAGTTTACCTTTGCCATCAAACCCTGGCCACTGAACATGCCCTACTGCCACATAGCACATAAGAGAGGGTGCCCCCACCTGCCCCAGTCTCACTGTGTACCATCAGTACACCACCCCTCTGACTGTGTTTCTGTTCTTCAGTTTTTCCTAACAGAGTACAATGATAGTTGTTCCAGTTGGACAACTGGAAACCAGGTGGAATTAACAGAAATCTGCAATAGGCTTTGGAAGATGTGGCAAAGAGGGGGTATTTGCCTCCAGGGAACTTCATGCAGTAGAGAGAAAAGAGACAGAGGCAGGACCTCAGATCCTTTCACTGAAATTGACTGTAACATTTGTCAAATTACAGATTTTGAAAAAAAAATATAGATTGAATAGTATTCCCTGATTGCACCTCAGTTTTTTCCATCCAGGAGAAAGAAGTCCAGCTAGATGGTGCTTTAGAACTTGGATGTTCCAAGTCTGGTCCACATTCAAAGGCTGAGCATAGATTTCTGAAACTCCTTGCAAGTGAGAAATTCAACATAAGTACATGATGTATAGCAGGTACTGCTGTGATGATCAGGATACACAGGTGGGAACATATACCATAGAGTTCAAACTAGTAGAACCTGTGTGGTTCCTCAGCAGACAGGAAAGTTGAGGTACAAAGAGAAATGCCTTGCTACATTTGATTTTTTAGACTCAGGGCCTGAGGGGAGACTCACCGATGCACCCATGATGATAAATATGTGTGTATCAGCTTGGTGGAAGGCATCACCCTGGTACAACTCTTCCCTTAGGATCCCACACACCTGGGTTCGGCTCAGGGCCACCTGCTCTGCCATGATGTTTTCTGGTGAAAGAAAAGCTCATTGATAAGGCAGGAGAACAGAAGAGCATTGACAACCTAACCTTATTCAAGGTTCCTTTGGGTTCTCACTAGGTTACTGAAACTACTGGCTGGGAATGCTGTGTGCCTGCGCATACAGAGTCAGAAACTACTGCTTCTGGACTCCAGCCATACCTTCCTATGTTGTGGAGGCCCACAGAGGTTTTCTAGTGAGATCTGAGTTTGCTTTACCCAGCAGAGCTGCATTAGAGGACTGCTTGACCATGTGCTTGGTTACCAGGTGATTGGAAGGGTCTGCACTTGGCTGAGCTAGGGGGAAGTCTTTGCTCCACCCCTTGGCATTCCTATAAATAACCCTTTAGAAGAGACAGAAGGGGCTGGTGGATAATGATCCAGGCCCTCCTGAGGCTATCCCGTGTTTCTGTTTCTCTCCCCTCTATCCTTCTACCTCTATATTTCTACCTCAATCTCTTATCCCTCTCTCCTCAAGAGTTCCCTGTCATAAAAAAAACTGGGAGCTGTTTCCCCACACTATGTTGTCTTCTCTGGGGGCTGTACATTACGAAATCACTATAAGCATTAATGGAATTCATTAAAATCCAGTCAGGGCATCGCCCTGTGTCTGGGGCCATCACACTTTAGTCTCTGCCAGAAACTCCACAATGAAATGAACATGTTTGATTGTGCAGATGGTGGAGATCAGCTCCAGCTCTCTCCTGGTCAAGCTAGGTGATTCCGGAAGGTCCCTTCTCTTCTAAAAGTCTAGTCCTCATGGGCCCAATGAGGGGAAGTGCGGAGTACAAAGGGATGGGTTAAGACCTCGTAGATTTTCTTCCATATCCAAGCATGACAAATAGCGCACATCAAAAGGACATGAGGCGTACAAGCAGGAAGCACATCCCTCCACCGGTGTGCCATCAGACCACCCCTTTACCTGCGTTTAGTTGCTGCTGCCAAACAGGTTCACAGTTCTGGAGTGCACAGCTCGTTTCCGGGGGCTGCGCTTAGCTGGCCCATTTAATGCATGAGGGCGGGTGCTTTGACTGAGCTGACCCGCCTCAGGAGAGGCAGAAGGGGAGGAGCTTCGGACTACTCCATCGGTGAGGGAGGGGAGAGGAGCAGAAGTAGGTGCGCACGCATCTCTTGCTAGCCCCACCCTGTTGGCCGTCCCTGCTTCCCCTGCTCCGCGATCGCGATACCTTGCTGGCATAGGTGCAGCTCCGCACAGTTTTCCTGTGTCCCCATCGCTACCCCAGCCATACCCTATGGTCTGGTTTCCGATGGACCCTTGAGTCCCTGCGCCCTCCCGGATGACCCCACTTCCGCTAGCAGCGTAGCCACGCCTCCCCTTGTGGTGGGTTTGGGATCCTTTCGCAGCTTCTTTTAGGCTTTTTTCCGTGGTAGGGACCTGGAGGCAGAGGGCCCGGTGGCAGGACCAGACTGAAACTAGGGTGTTTCAGTGCGGATGCGGCGCCTTGAAAATGGGGTGGGGGCGGGTGTAGGCGTGGTGGCGCACGCCTTTAATCCCAAGCACTCGGGAAGCAGAGGCAGGTAGATCTCTGTGAGTTCAGAGGCCAGCCTGGACAGCTAGAAGAAAGACCCTGTCTCAAAAAAAAAAGTGTGTGTGTGTGTGCGTGTGTATGTGTGTAGTCATGTTTATCAGTGAGGAGCGTTTCGCTCTTCGGATGGCCAATGCAGGCTGGCTGGCGGTCTGAAGCTTCTCTCCGGAGCAGGATGTACCACTTTTGCGGCTACGCATCTTCAGTTAATCTCCACGGCTTCAAGTCTGTGTTTTACTTCCGGATCCCACACTTACGACACCGGAAGCCGGAAGCGGGGGTTTCCACAGCCGAGAAGGGAAGGCTGATCGTCTAACTAGGACTTTCTGGGAGCTCCGATTCAGTCTGAGAGGTCGGATCCCGCTGCTTCCGCCCTCTTCACTTCTGGCTAACTCTGCTGACAGGTGTGGTCCTCTTCTCCAAAGACAAGGCTCTATCGGTGGCCGTTCCGCAGCTTCCGAGGCTCCTGACCTCCTCCCCGCTTCCCTTGGGCCCAGTTTGTTCTGTTGCATGCTTTCGCATGCTTTTCGAGCATGGGTTCAAGAGTGCTGATTCGCGACCCAGCTTATTTGGGCGGCTAGTCGGACTGATACTCTCCTTCCCTTTGCTGCAGCTGTAGCCTAAGGGCTTGGCCCCCAGTGCTAGAACTCTTCTAGTTCGGAGACGTTTTTCTGTTGATCAAACTTTGTTTTCTGAAACAGCATCTCGCGATGTAGGCCAGATAGACCTCGAACTCAAGATCATCCTGCCTCAGCCTTTTCGAGTGCCAGAGTAATAGGCCAAGCTGTTTATCAAACTTGAGTGCATTTGAAGTCTTTAAAAAGTTTTCAAGTGTATCTTGACAGCTAAATATCTTACCTTATGCACCTCAGCTCACTTTGCGAATGATTAGTAATCTATTTGTGTGTTCTCATACCATTTATCTGATCTGAGAATGAATGTATTGTCTTGGCATTTCTTAGGAAAAAGGAAAGACCTACGGTAGTAGGAGCAGAGAGTCAGGGAGGAATAGTTGGTGGAGAGGAAGGAAGGAAGGGAAATTAGGTGGTATAGGACCTTGTAGGCTGTTGCACAGACTTTGTTTTTTTTTTTTTTTTTGCACTGGGAGAAATAGGAACTCTGATAGGGTTCACGGTAGAAGGGAGAAGTAGTCTGAGTTATCTTTGAGGTAACTGGCCCCAGTGGGGTCAGTTGTAAAGGACAAGGGAAGAAGCAAAGCATGGTGATCTGTAAAGAGATTATTGCAGTAATCCATGTGAAAGATGATAGTGCTGTTAGCCTTTTATTATTGAAAACTTTAAAATTGTTCAAAAATAGAAATAATAAAATAGTAAGTTCCATGTACACATTTCTTAGCTGTCTCTATCAACTCATAGCTAACTTTAATTCACACCCCTTATAATCCTCTACCATGATTTTTTTCTTCTTTAGAAAATATGTTATTTTATGTGTATGGGTGTTTTGGCTGTGAGTATGTATATGTACTACATGCTTGCCTGGTGCCAAAGGAGGTCAGAAGAAGGTGTCAGGTCCCCATGGATTGGAGTTACAGATGTTTGTGAGCCACCATGTGGGTGCTGGGAACTGTCTTCTGCAATAATAGCAAGTGCTCTTAACCAGAGTCATCATCTTTCTTGGCCCACCCTTTATGATTTTCATTAACAGCTTTCTTGAGACATAATTTGCATGTCACACCATTTACATTTAAAAATTAAAAAATATTTATTTACTATTGTATGTGTGTGTGTGTGTGTGTGTTTGTGTGTGTGTGTGTGTTCATGATGTGTGTGGGGAGCACAGGTACCATGCCAGATTGTGTAGAGGTCAGAGGACAATATTGTTGAGCCAGCTCTCCTTTACATGTGTTTTCACCTTTACATGTGTTCTCAGGTCTCCAGACTTGCATAGCAAGAGCCTTTATCCACTGAGATGTCTCATTTGCTTATAATTCAAAATTTTTGGAGACAAAGTCTCATGAAGATCCCTTCCTTTTGAGTTCCTAATCCTTCTGCTTTTACTTCCTAAGTGTTGAGATTACAGAAGTATATCACCACACCTGGCTACAATTCACATATTTAAGGTGTATAATTCAGTGGTTTTTAGTGGGTTCATGGGAGTGTGCAAACATCACTAATCACAGAACATCATCATCACCCCCAAAAGAAACCCTAACTAAGAAACCCCAGTCCACCTCATCTCTCTAAGTAACCACTAAACTACTTTCTGTCTGGATTTACATGTTTTGGATACTTCTTCTGAGTGGAAGTACATTCAATATATAGCTTTCGGTGACATTTCTTTCTCTTAGCAATTATTTGGAGCATGCGTTCTTGTTTTAGCGTGTAGCTGAACTAGATTTTGCTTATTCATCAGTTGATGGACATTTGGATTGTTTCTACTCTGGCTGCTTTGAGTAATGCTACTGCTGTGATCATTTACATATGGACATGTGTTTTCTTTTCTTTTTCTTTCTTTCTTTCTTTTTTCTTTTTCTTTTTTTTTTTTTTTTGGTTTTTCGAGACAGGGTTTCTCTGTGTAGTTTTGGTACCTGTCCTGGATCTCGCTCTGTAGCCCAGGCTGGTCTTGAACTCACAGAGATCCGCCTGCCTCTGCCTCCCAAGTACTGGGATCAAAGTCTTATACCACCACTGCCCAGCTCTGGACATGTGTTTTCATTTCTCTTGGGTATGTCCTCAGGCGTCTCCCTTTTATTATGCAGTGAATTTCAGACATGTGAGTATTTCATTATGCATCTCTTTCAGAAAGGACTCTAAATAACCATAACTACAATACCATGATCACACTTAAAATACTTAATGTTACAGAGTTTCTTCATGAATTAGATATGAGGAGGGAGGGGAAGGGAAAGGAACGGAGATACTAATCGAACAAACAAACAAGCAAACAAAACCCAGAAATGCTCAAGATTTTTGTCCTGATAATTGGGGGATGGATTTGTTTTCAGCTGATAGTAAGGGAAGTTGTAGGTAGAATTGGATTTCTTGGTAGTACTGGGGATCCGGGGTCTGGTGAATGTTTGGTAAGTGTGCTACTGCTGAGCTATACCTCTAGCCCTGAGAAATTAATTTTGAGACGATCTCTTTCATTTTAATTTAAAAAATATTTATTTTTAATTTTTATTTACGTGTGTGTGTGTGTGTGTGTGTGTGTGTGTGTGTGTGTGTGTGTGCCTAGGAGACCAGAAGAGTACATTGGATTCCTCTGGAGCTGGAGTTATAGATGGTTATGAGCTGCCCAACATGGGTGCTAGGAACTGAACTTGGTTCCTCTGGAAGAGCATTGAGTGCTCCTAACAGCTGAGCTGTCTCTCCAGCCCCTTGAGTAGACTTCTAAACATCCAAGTAGTTTGATATGTGAGTCTGGAATTCAGGAGTGAAAACTATTTGGAATATTATCAACATTAAGATTGGGGTTAAAGCCATGAGACTGAATAGAATTACTGCAGGGGTGAATGTAGGTAGCGAAAATGTCCCCAGGCACCTCAACATGAAGGAATGAGAACTTAGTGAAAGGGCCTCAGCAGGATCATCTTATGAGGGAATGAGAGACACCAGAAGAGGCTTTCCTGGAAGCTGAAAGGAAGAAAGTAGGTGAAGAAGAGGGAAGGGTCAGCTGGGTGAGCTCAGGCAGATGGATCTATGGGTATCAACACTGTCAATGTAAATAGTCAAGATTCTTCAGTGTTGCAGGCATCCTCCCTTACTGAAGGCCCACTTCTGGAAGCTTGCATTGAGATTGTCCTCTTTCTGGTAGTCAATCTTAGGCAGGATTTAGGAAGTCTCCAGGTTAGCTCTGCCCTGCATGTTCTTTATCTGGTTTATAAGCCAACATAAGCAGACCAGGGGTCATTTGTCTCAGACTGACACCCCAAGTCCCACTTTCAAATTTCTTAGCATCCAGAAGACACCAGAGGTCTCTATCCCCAAGGAACACTCCCCAGGTACAGTGTGGTCTCCTGAAGTTTCTCTTACCAAGTATTTGAGTTTCCTGTGATTCCTATAAGAAATGACTATAGGCTTGGTGGCTTAAAACAACAGAAATAAATATCTCACAGTTCTGGAGGCCAGGAGAATAAAATTAGAGAGTCAGCAAGGCCACACTCAATCTCCAAATTGTACAAGAGTATCCTTTCTGTGTCTTTCAGCTGCTAGTGGGTCAGTTGTTCCTTAGCTTGTGGTTATATCAGTCTAGTCTTAGCTTCTGTCTTCCTATGGCTGTCTCCCTGTATTTCCACCTGTTTTCCCTCTTTCTCCTGTCTCTTTTGTGTATATGTGAGGAGCTGGGAATTGAACCCAGGGCCTTGTGCATGCTAGGTAAGTGACTATGTAGTTCTACCACTGAACTACATTCCCAGTCCTGTCTCATTTGTCTTTCAGAACGGTACTTGCTATTGGAGTCATGGCCCACCCATGTAATTTAGGATGATCTTAGTTTGAAAGCCTTAATTTTTGTGAGACAGGTTCTTACTATATAGACCAGGCTGGCCTTGAACTCAGATTTGCCTGACTCTGC